ATCTAGAGATTTTTGTCTTTCAGGCTGAGCAAAACTCTTTTCCTGTTATTATCAAGTAGATTTTGTTGCCTAGAAGTGTATGATTATATTCTCTGAGGCTTTTTCTTATGTGGAAGAGTTTTTGTGAGTTTTTTCAAGAAAATTATCAAAAAAAGAAATTTTTTAAAAAAATGTGGATCAGCGAAAAGATTTTTTTTTTTTAAGAAAAATTAATTTTAATATTGTAATTATATAAAATATTAAAAAGACTATTAGTACTATATAATAAGCAAAGAATATTTGATATAAAATATACTTAAATACAATATAAACTTATTAATAAAATATAAATTGAAAAACTATATTTTTAACCTTTAGTCATTCAATATAAATTTTTGATTATATAATTTATAGAATTAAAAGATTATATTTTTTACTCAAATTTTAGAACTAGTAGCTCTCAATAATGACTATACTAAATAAATACTATATAGATATCTATATATTAAACAAATACTTCAAATATTTAAAATTAGAAAAAATTATACCTTTTTATATAATAAATATAGACTTGATATTAAAGATCCAATAATTAATATAGTTAACAGAGAAATATTAACAAGAATAAAATGACTATCAAATATGAACTCCAAGTTTATAATAATAATAGAATTAAATAAAAATAGAATATATGATATTGTAATTAGAGAACAAATTATCAAGGATATTATTTAACTCATTATTATATATTTGAATAGCTATAAAATCTTAAAAACAATCTTGGGCATAATAAAATATATAAGATTTATCACTTTTAATATCTGGGCAGACAGATATTAACACTTTTATAAATAGAAATCAAATTATAAAATCAACTGTAATCTATTAAAATTCAGGAAATATTTTTTTAAAAGTGACAACAAGTTACAATGGATTCTATAACAAACTGACTTTTTTAGAAATTAAATAGAAGTAACACAAAAAAAAATCAATTGCAAAATTGCTTTGTAATTTAAAGTAATATATACAGTATCTGTTTATATTTAATAAAATGAATTTCAGCTTAAATATATCAATCAAATATAAATTTAATTATAATAATAAAGATTATTTTATCAAATATACTGTAGTTTATAATATAATTTAATATGAATTACTGTAAGTAGTTCAAATGATTAGAAGATTTAAAAAAGTAATTTTTTCTTAAATCATATTTCTTGTAAAATATTATAAAATATTATTCAAATAAATTTTAAAAAATCTCTTTCTAACCATTCTTTATAAAAAATTTATTTCACTCGAATACATTTGATCAAATATAATTTTGATTCCAATATTTGAAATTCAAAATAGAGCAATAAGGTGATTCAAATTATTTAGAATAAAAGGTCATCAAATAATTACTTTTAAAAATAGCTATCCAGATATACGGTATTATTACTAATAATTTAATAAATATTACGTACTAAAAAATATATATTAATTTTAAATTTATATGAAATTTATCGATATTATTCAATTTAATATACAGTAAATTCTATCAAATCGACGTTTTGATCAGATAATTATCTAGTTAACTGTATTAATTTTATTAATTTATAAAGTTTTGAATTCAACCCGAATATATTATATGTCGATCGTTTCGGGCGTTCATTGTGATCGCCATTTCAGGCTGTCACGTGACTGACCAGAGACTCCGTCTTTAAAAATTATAGTTTTGTGTGAATGTGTGGTTTGTGGCGTCAAGCTTCTTGTGCACATGTTTTCTGTGCACCCGATGAATCTTTATTAATGCATAGTTTGTTACAGCAGATGTCACTGACATACGCAAATTGTACGGAGATGGCCGACAATCCTTTGCGTACTTAAAACACCAAAAGTACGTTTTTCGACAAAATTTCCAATTGAATTTAGATTTAAAAATCCACCAAAATGAAAAAAGAATAATGATAATTTTTATTTGAAAATTCGCTGGTAAGCGAATGATGCAAATGATGTACTCTCCTGCAAAAAGTGTTCGAGAAAGTAATAAACCAAATCACCCATTAACCTTGAAGTGTTCCTTCAATTTAAACCACGCACTGTAATGTTGTAGTATTTCTATTTCCTTTTATGGTTTTCCTTCAACGTGTATGAGCAGGAATCCCCTCCCACCACCACCGAATATGACTCATCGAAGATCATCATATTTCTTGATTCCAAAATCCTTGATCAAACCTTCTTTCTTAAATTGTTTAAACTTCAAGTCCATAAATTCCGAGAAATCGATGTCGGATTTGAGAAACGAGTGGTGAAAATAAAATGACAGCAGAGGCTGTTGAAGTGACTTGTCTAAATCCTGGTTTCTTTCTTTCCTCTTTCTCAAGAAAACCTCCAACACATCTATATCGATTCCCCAAGAATAAAAAAATTCGATTTTGCAGAGCTTCAATCTCAATTTTAAATCGATTTCTAGTACCTCCAAGATTTCAAGGAATTCATTGATGTGTGCCTCGTATGTTTCATCGTCGTACCTATAGGTCGCTATCGATATGGCTTCCAGGTTCGGGCACGATATTAATAATTGTTTGAATTCTTTTGCATCTTCTCCATAAAACCAAGTGTTCAGATATCTTACTTTCGGACAATATTTTGCCACCGTTTGATTGAACATGGGGATTTGGTAAAATGGGTAAACGCAGGGAATATCAAAGTGAATGACCTCGAGATGTCCTTCGGTTCTTGCAATAAATCGAATCAGGTATTCCAACAAGGGCAACAACTTCAAATCCAAGACCCTCAGTTTAGGGAAGGTCGAGCACGTCAGAATGTTCTCGATGTCATCGTGAAAAGTGATGGCAAGTGATTGCAGATTAACTAGGGTGGATATGTTTTCGGGCGGTATGGCCTTCAACAGTTTTCCTCCGATGTGAAAATGAATTAAATTTTTTGACTGAGAAGAAATAGCATCGGCAATTTTCGAATATCTACAGTTAACATCGTATCTGTTATATCTACTGGGAGCGAACAATTTTCCTTTATACAAGCCATTACCCTTGACAATTATTTTCACCGATTTCAAATTATTTTGAACTTTAATCAGCGTTGCCAACCCCTCATTATCGGAGGTACAGTCGTCGATAATTATCTTTGCAAGGTTCTTACATATCGTCGACAGCTGATAAAAGGTCCCAGGAAGCAATGTGGCGTTGCAATGCAGTTCGCATAGATTTGACAGACAATTCTCGACATTCCGGAAGCACGGGAGCAGAATATCTCGATCCCGGTACTCGAGTCTCTTCAAGGTTCGACATCGACTCATGAACATTTTGTATATCTCTTGTTTTACAAGATACTTTGTGTACTTATCCACTGTTCCGGCTATCAACTTCTTGCTGCCTTTTTTATTTCCAGCGGATAACTTTATGGGTGGCACCATCAGATCTATCATGCCATTGATGTGCGTGAACTCGAGGTATCGACACATTCCAGCGTAGTCGAAAAGAGGAGGCTTCGTTGAAACTATTTTTATGCCTCGATCCCTCAAAATTTCTTTAGATTCCTTTGGTAGACAAGACATTAACGTAGAAAGTATCATTGACACGTGTTGATTTGAAACGCACAGATCACGGAATTTCAATGTGTCCCTCCACAAGATCCCTACGGCCACTTGGGCCCATTGTCTGTTTACAAACATGCAAGAGTACAGTGAACCCAGATCATCCTGCAAATATTCAAAGATTTCTCTGATGTTCTCGGGTGGGAGAGGTGGAACCATATTTGTGTTCGTCGGGGCTTATTATATAGGAAACAAGTATGTTAATAAAAAAGGAAAAGAGACCAATAGCAATTATTCCAAAGAATTTTTTTATTTTATCACTTACTGTTTAAATATATCGATATGACCTTTTATTAATACTAATTAATAATATATATATGTGTGTATATATGTATATATGTATTTTTTTTTTTTTTTTTTTTTCTAAGGAAAAAATCGAAGAAATATTTCAAGAAAAGTGAGCGACAAGAATCACATAGCCACACACACCACACGACCACGAGATAATTAGATTTATAAAAACCGTGGAAAAGTTTACGGTCGTACACAATCACTTATCTTATTTGTCACGTGGTTGCTTTTTTTGGCGACTAACTTGATGCAATGTCAAGTTGATAAGTCAGTTTCGGAGAGATAAGGTACAGCGGGTGCAGATAGAACAGTCTCATCATATTTTTCCAAACCCAATTTATCTTATTGCATAATGCAGAGTTAGGTACGAATTTTTCATTGATAGTGTTCTTTCTTCACTTAAAATAACCCCTGTTCGGGAAATATTTATCAACAAATCTGCCGTTATCAAACCACTAAATTGACGGGAAGCCTATTCTCATTTGCGAGTAACGTATGTACGTACGACGTGTGTACTTATTTTTCATTTTTCCCAGGCGATCCTCGTACACAGATAAACAGTTCATATCCAAATTTTTGTTACTATAGTCCTTTTTTTTATCTTTATCTTATTCCTTTGGTTGCATAGGTGTGGTTCAAATTCTAAATTCAGAAGAGTTTGATTATATAATATTTTTAATACATGTACAGTATTTGTTCTAAAATGCGAAATTTTAATTGGTACGGGTCGAATTTATGTTGTTTGCAGTAAGATCGTCCACTGTAGAAAACAAATTTCATGCACGTAAAGGATCGGTTATTTATTTTGCTAATAAACAAATCGCAAATAAGGTTCAGATGCGTTGAAGTTTTATGGGCATTCATAAATTCTGCGGAAAGAAAAAGAATGGATATTCGAGGTCGATTATGTATCCGAAGATCGTCGCTTCGAGGATAACCAATGTCATCCAGGTCAAGAACCTTTTTCGAGTGTTTCTCCTCTCGTTTAGCATCGGACCATCTCCGCTTCTCCTGACGAACCAATCAAACCTTCTTCCAATGCTTCTCAGCTCTCCCCTTTCTATTAGACCCATTAATCTACCCCCTTCACTGACCATTCTAATCAACGAAGATTCGATCGACGCTAGGATCCTACGATATCCGCGTACGTTTGGCACGCACTCGTCGGGATTTTCATACATGTGAAGGTGGATATCGACGACTACGTTCGCAGCGATAATCGTAGGTATCGATATCAGAATTAGAAGGGGCAAACTGAAGGATAATGTTGTATCGTAATAAACTGCCGAGATTGAAATGGTGCAGGCAAAGAGTAAAATCATCGCGCCCAACAATTCTGCACTATTCGGGGCGGCATCCCGAAATGTTAATTTGGGATATAATTTTATTAACGCGCCATCACCCTTGGCCCAACCGTAGAACCTCCAATAACTTCTTTTACCGTGGTTCCACCATGGGTGAACGACCCTCACTTTTGGTGCACATCGGAATCCTTCACCCCCGGGATATTGATTAACAAAAAATTCTCGTTTTCGTAAGCAGAAATCGATGTCTTCACCACCTCCAGTTTTAGGGAAAATCGGATCGAAAAGAATTCCGTCATTGTATCGTCGAACGAGCAGGTTCGCGGTGACACCCCATGGTAAATCTTCTTCAAATTTTTCGGCTGCGTCCCAAAAATATGTGACTCCCGACATAACTATGGCGCAGGTGTAAATTTCATGACTTGCATCGGGAAACTTGGAGTTTCCTATGAAACCGCAAGCGTTCGGATGTTCTCTGATGACCTTTTCGCATTCGAACAGGATATCAGGGTCTGGGGTCACATCATCGTCCAAGAAAAGGACGTAGTCCGCGCTTGACTCCCTCAAGCCCCTATTTCGAGTCTCACTCGCTCCTAGATTTGTTTCATTCTCTCGTATCCTTATGAACGGATCTTTCTCATAAAATTTCTTTAGGATGTCAGAATATTGTGAGTCGGGGTTATCTATTATGATGATGACCATAGTTGAAATCGTCGAAGGTCTCTCCAGATTAATTATTGGTCCTAGATAATTGAGATCTACGCGATAACTTGGTATAATAATATCGAGTGTTAACAGCATGGATGGTGAGTCAGGACAATTGTTGTTTAACCAGCTGTCTACTTTTTTCACCGCTTCGTCTAAAATCTCGAAACCCCAACCTTGGCAATATTTCTTTTCGTATCTTGTAAGTTGGCTGCCGCCAATTGTATTTCGAAGTTTAACGTCTTGTAGCATTACCGAGCATCCCCATCGCCGATAAATTTGAAACAGGAACGGGTCTCCATCTTGATTATGGAATTTCATAGGAAAAATTTCTCCGAAAATTTCGAAATGAAGACGCCCAATCACGGGAAAAGCTGGAAATCCGGGGAATGAAGTATCAAAAAAGGAGACACACCCAAATCCGCGAGGAACTTTCTTTTCATTAGAGATGACGACAAAAGCGTCATGTATTTTTTTCATCCAACCTCGGGTTTCGATGATCACATCGTCACCCAAAAGAACCGTGTAATCACATTCTTTGCATGCTTTTTTTGCCAAATCTCTCCAGATTGCACAAATTGAACCTGGAGGGTAGGTAAATTCTGTTGTGTCCACGGTCCATAAATTGTCTTGATTTTTGCAAAGAATGTTCAGTGCCGGGTTATCCTCTTGCGAATGGAATAACTTGTCATCCTTATCTATTCCTAAATAAATTTTGATTCGATAATTTCTTTCGAGTAAATCTTGAACGGATGTGTCGTAAAGAGATTCCGAAAATCTCGCGAGGTTATCCAAACAATCTTCAGGTCGGGGCAATCCACGTGAAGTGATGGGAAGAAGTATGCCAAAGGTTATTGTATCTGTGAATTCGTTATCTCGAGCGAGATACTTTATTTCGCTTGAAAGATATGATTCGACCATGCTTTTCCAGGCCGATGGGTTATTCCGATACTGAGTAGATCGTTTATAGATTTGATGTTTAATCCAGTCCGAGGTTTTTTTCATTCCATCGTTTATGTTGTGTGTCGGACTCCATCCGAGTCTTTCTTTGATAAATGTGTCATCAGAATTCCTATTTCGAACTCCGACGGGTTTGTCCTCTACCCTCCTTAAGGTGACCTCCTCTTTTGGAACACCGAGGGTTTCGAACGCGATATACGCCAACTCTTCGATGCTCACAGATTCTTCCGAACCGATGTTTACTACTTCGTTGCAGTCGCTCTCCATCAATTTGATGACAGCGTCGACGCAATCGTCGATATATAGAAAACTTCGTCTCTGTTCACCCGTCCCCCAAATTTCTATTGTATTATCACCTATGTATTTATTTGCACATATTGCCTTCCTCAATAAGGCTGCCGGTGCCTTCTCGCGACCGCCGTACCAACAGCCGCCTTCACCATAAACATTATGAAATCTGGCGATTCTGATTTTAATGGAATTTGGGGGAATGCTTTTCAACACAATCTCGGAATTCAATTTTTCTGCGCCATACAAGTCTTGGGGATCAGGACCGACTGTCTCCGATAGGTTCCAGACATCGGATTCCTTTAGTTTAAAATTCGTGTTATTAACGTCGCGTTGTTTTCGACAAGGGTAGACACAGGCTGACGAGGAATAGAAAAATCTTTCTACACCAGTTTCTAAAGCAACCTGCAAGAGGTTTAGCGTCATTATATGATTGTCTTTATAAATTATGAAATTATTTGATGGATGAATCGTGCCCATTCCCCCCATGTTTGCGGCAAAGTGAAATATCCACTTGGGGGCGACACGTTTAACAAGTTCCCGGCATTCGGCGACATTTCTAATATCGACTTTGCAGAATTCCGTGCAGAATTCATCGACATTTTCGACCAGACGAAAAGTTGGATCATTATGGATGTCTGCGATTATGACCTTGTGATCGTTTTCGTGAAGATATTTTGCCACATGGCTTCCCTGAAATAATGGGAACAAATTAACGGAACTGCACATAACGCGGACAAGCATCGAGAAACTTACAATGAATCCGTTCCCCCCACTGATCAGGATAACATGACTGGAACTCATTTTCGATCTTTTTTCTTTTTAATCCTTTAAATTTAATGTATTCACCCAGGAGACTACTGATGCAATACGTCCGTTTTTCTCGCATCATGAGAAATTTTAACGTTTTCAATACAAAACACGGCCCGTGTGATTACTTAATCGGCAAATGTTATTTCCATTTCACTCCGAGTTATAAAACTCTTTCACCATTGCGCTTACCAAAACGTCATGATTAGCCAACGAAATCATCGGTCGTTACGTCGCATGTTTGAAAATGACGTCTGCTCCGAAAATTTCATGGTTACATAATGACACTACACTTGGCAATAAGCTAATTGTTGAAAAATGCGACTTGTTTGAAAGATTTATTCGTGTTCTATGAATTAAATTTATTCTTATATTTAGTCTTACCTGTTTGGGATGTAAGTATTACAAAAATTGGTTTGTCATGTCGAGAACGAACTATAAAAATAGATTAAATAAACTATAAATTAATTGAATATGTGCAGCAAAACAGTTTATCTTTTTTTCTTTCATTTCATTTTTGTTTTTTGAATAGATGATATATAATTAATCGTCCTTCGAGTACATATATTTTTTATTATATTAGTAAATACGTATATATAATGAATTAATTTTTTTTTTTTTTTTTTAACACACAACGTTGCCCATTTTATTGATTATATGCGTTACACAATTTTCATTTACAAAGCTATTTTATAAACTATAA